TATTAGTTAAATAATTTATTTTTTACTGTTTCTGTTATTATTTCATAGGTCGACCGCTCGTTTTGAGGGCGACCGTTCTTCTATGTTTCTCTTCCCTCCAATTTTTTGGTACCTCCAATTTTCCCATACTCCATATTTGTAGCTTTTTTAGCTACTTTATAATGCTTGCTTGATTTTAGCATAATCAGACATGAAGAAATTTAAATTTTTTTCCTCGCGAAAATCAGAGCGAGGAGAGATCAATGAAATATCGTCACCTACAAATGTTGTAAAATGTGTACATGTAACTTACGATCCCTCTACTGGCGAGTTTGCGGGACTCCCAGATTATTGGAAAAAAATGATCGACTCATCAAACTTTAGTCGTGAAGAAAAGAATAACCACCATAAGGAAATTTTGAATGCTGTGTCTGTTTACCAAGAATCCTTGTGTAAAGAGGGGAAATCGATTAAATTTATTGGAGGGGATGCCGACCTTCTTAGTAGTCTTCCTGATCTTGATGACTGTAAGTTATTTTATCTAATTACGTCAGGTGCCGATGACACCACTCGGAAGCTGTCGGATATTACGATTGGGGAGAATGGCCAATCTTCTGCAAGTGATTATAGTTCCACAAACCTGGTGGATATTTCTGTTGTCGAGGCTATCACTGACAGTAAAATTTGCGCCGTTGATCGAGAAGTAGAAATAAAACCAGCATCCACTGAGCCCACTATACATCATTTGGAAGATTATTTTGGCACTGATAAAAGTTCTTTAGTTCCGAACGAGCACACCTCAAATGGAAATGTACCTTTGGAGCCAATTTTAGCCCATGTTGATACTAACTCCGCCAAAGCCGCCCCTGTTAAGTCCTCACCAGAAACTAAGGTAAATAAGTTAAGCATACAAATATATACATATGGAAAAAGCAAATGCTAGTTGCCTATATGCTTATAGAGGAATAGTATTTCCCATCCCTTCTTTGCATAAACATCGGTATTAAAATAAGTATAATGCTTCTCTGACTTAAACTTAGGCGTAATAACAAACTTATTTTTCTACATACCATGTAATTATTGGTCTGTGAGGCTCAATGTACCGCTACCTCGTTTAACTCAAGC